TCGGTAAAACGAGAAGTGCAACTAAACCGGACGGCTCAGAGACAGTTCACAAATGAAGAAATCCTGCTGATGTTATTTCTTCCTCAGCTCATTCCCACTCAGTCTTGCAACACTTGCTTTTGGATTCTGGTGAAAACCTACGCTGCTTCACAAAAGCAACCAAGTGTTAAATTTTTTTTAAAATAAACGCTAAATGACATTTTCTCATACATCTATCCAAACCCACACAACTTAAAAAGTCAAAAAGAAATAAAACTACGCAAAAGTTTCCATTAACCACTCTGATCTTAGAGCTGAACGGAAGAATAGGCCACCTTTTCAGATCCTGCAATGTGTCAGAAATTCTGATGGAACAAGCTGTGCTTTAGTGAAATGTGCTGGAGCACTCTCTGGCATCTAAAAGACACGAAATATTAACAGAGGAGAAAAATAAAATATTAAAGTTTTCTGAGTGCTGTGTGCTCATGAAATTCTGCTTTCCCCTACATTTATTGCAGTAGTGTGCTGTACTAAAAAAGAAACAAAATAAAACAAAAAATGCTATTAAGTCAGGCTATGAAACTTTCAATATTAGTCAACGCAAGCATTTTGTTAACGTGACTGTAGCTTGAAGTCACACCTGCTGACCACATGATCACGGCTGTCGGGTCTCTGCTGAATGCTGCAATAGTGAAAAGTCCCTTTGACGTCAGGGAAGACCCCGGCTTTTTAAATTAAACCACATGGATTTGCACATATTTATTTTTAACTCAAGATTAACCTTTTGGATTATTAGGTTCTAAAAAATACAGATTTAAAGATTTTGCGGATGTTATTTTTAATTTTATTTTTGTTACATGTTTGAAACCAATATAATCTTTTTTTAAAGTCATAAATTTTCAATAAAAAAATGCAAAACAAAACTTTTGACAAATAAGATTTTCACACCTTTTGAAATGTCAAGTCATGTAACTGGTTTGGATTTTAGCTGGTCATGTCGAGTTACTCAAAACTCCGATGGTTTGCATGCGATCCTCAAAAGAATGACTGTAAAAACCTCTGTAAGCAAAGTTGCCTGACTAGAAACCATGGCACACCTTTGAATTTGCTACATTTGATTGAACCAGCACTTTTGATCAGATTTGCATTATTCCTGAGAAAAAGATATGACAAATTGTTGCCTGTCATCTGGTTATGTTGATGAACTGTAATTTCACTGTGCTTTGTACAATGACAGTAAAGGTTTTTATTCAAATCAATTCAATTCAAAAATGGGCATTTTGTTGACAGAGTTTAGGATCATTTATTTTTGTACTGAGAGGCAATTACAGATGTAAAGTTTTCTCTTTTTTTTCCACACACTCACACATTCTGTTGCAATTTTTTATACAGTCCTATGAAAAAGTTTGGGCACCCTTGTTAATTTTTCTGATTTACCTTCATAAATCATTCATTGTTTGGATAAAAAAAATCAGTTAAATATATCATATAGGGGACAAACTGTGATACAGTATTTGAGAAGTGAAATGAAGTTTATATGATTTGCAGCAAGTATGCAATAATTGGTTAAACAAAATTAGGC